ACATCTTGATGCTGCCACCACCGTGCTTGACATCTTGATGCTGCCACCACCATGCTTGACATCATGATGCTGCCACCACCATGCTTCACATCATGATGCCGCCACCACCATGCTTCACATCATGATGCTACCACCACCATGCTTCACATCTTGATGATGTATCTTGTTTAGTGTCTGCCAAACATCCCCTGGCCTATGCTTTTCTGGACCTTCCACATACAGGTGCCTTTACACTACAATCACTGAGACACATTTCCTGGACTCTGATGATTTCAATAACTGTGTGACTTCTCGCACCAAGTGGCTGCACCTGTGTTATAAGTCCCTTTTACGGAGATGAATATGTTTAACATGCAATCACTTCTTTCACATTCTACACGTTTAATTAACTGACATTGCTTTGTGGAAATCTATTTTCACTGAAACATAAAAGAGCCTTTTTGGTGAACTGGTGTCAAAACATTAAGACTAAATTGGCCATGATACAATGTCTGAGTGAATGCTTTATATTTACATTTCTTGACAGTGTCTTGTTTAATGTATGCAGGAAAAAGTTCTTGATGGGACTGCTTTTTTCTCCTTACGGTCAGTTAGGCTCTAATTGACAAAAATACTCATTTAAGTCCCTAAAATGTAGCAAACCGTGATAGATGTTGCAGTATACGTAACTAGAAATCCACGTTAACTTTGAGATCTCTGCCTGGGATGTTAATTAAATTAAATGAATCCTGAGCTGGAAGAGAGGCCCGCTGGGAGCAGTCCGTCCTGCGCTCTAAATGTCCTGCCGTCACAATCATTGATTAGTCAATAAATCTCTAACAGGCGTCATGTACTGCGACACGTGGCAGCACATGTGGCTGCTGACCTCCATATGTTCATGTTTTCTTCTTCTTCTTCTTCTTCTTCTTTTCTTGCAGCTGCACAGGGCCTCGTCCTCCATCAGCATCATCAGAGTCTGAGTTTGGATGTCGGTTTGGAGACTTTGGACTCGGGACAACGAGGAACGTCGCTGGGATTTCAACAACAGACCTGTGAGCTGGGAGTCGTAATTTATTGTAAAATATGGGCGAAGGGAGCAGCACTCGATGCAAATCAGATTCAAATGAACCACCGTGGAGTCAGTGGACGACTGCTGCCCTCTAGTGGCCGGAGAGAAACTGAACAGTGAACTGAAAACTGATCTCCTGGTTTCTCTGATGTCAGACAGATTGTGAATATTTGCCAGCATGTTTGCAGAGTCCTTTCAGAAGCTCCTATGTCGCTCGGACGACGTGTTCAGCTGATTTTCATTCTCCTTTTACCGACTAGAATCACACATTTGAATTCCTTTTTGATGATTAGTCCGTGTGATTCATTCAGCTCAGTAGTTCGATGTACAGCACTAACATCAGGAAGAGTTTTACACGTAGTTTCAACATTAACTCAGTGTGTCATTCATGTACAGACGAACACTTGAATGTATGAGATGACGACGGTGGTGGATTTACACTGTAAGAATTTCAGAAATCTGTTTAATTAAATCAACTCATAATTTTATCATTAATATGTAGGAATCACTTTACCTTTTTTTTTTTTTCGATTCAGAACTCAGGTTCACTGCAATCTAAAGTCCCGCACAACCATTGCTAGAAGTAGAGGAACTTAAATGTCTTCTGTGCATAGAATTTCTCTTGTTTTGTAAAATACATAAAGTAAAGAAACCTGGACATAAAAAAAATAAATTCCGGTGACAGGTGACAGACACTGGAAATGAAAACTGTGGCTCCACATACTTTACAACATCTACTAGAAGATGTTTCACCATGCTGAATGTATCTTCCAACAACTTGCTCCTCTGTATGCCATTTTTCAGCCTCATTTGTTTTATTTTTGATGGATTTTCAAATGAGACATGTAGAATAAAGACTTAATTGTTGAAATATCACAACTTTAAGCTTAGATTTGGTACATTTCTCCAACAGAACCACACATCAAACATTCAGAACGAGTGTCACCTTTCGAACCAGTTTTTAAAGTATAGAAGGTTAGCTACAGAGAATCCAGGTTGTTATGATTTGTGGTGGATTGTGACATTGCAAGTGACTCAATGAACCAAAAATGGAACAGAACTTTAAAAACATTACAAAATTATCACAAAGTTTTTGGAGCTTTAAATTGGACAACAGAAAATGATTCAGCAACTATAATAAAGATCATTTTCTTCCCAACAATGCAATTTCTGGCTTTGAGAAAGGCTTTAAAAGTGTCTGAAAGTGCGGACACATGCGTTACATAATTAAACATCTTCAAATATTATGATGTGTAATGTCACCATCGACTCACCATGAAATACTGCAGCAGTGGAGTTACAGTAAGCGCCACGTGCAGTCGCTCTGTGCATTAGGATGATTAACAGATCAGCAGGGAATCGATAACCACCGAGAACGTGATTAATCTCAATCAGCTGTGTGTCGATACACGTATTTACTGCTCAGAGGAAAACCCTTTCTGTGGAATGAACTGAGCTCTGAAGCATTAATCTGTGATTTTACAGGTGGATATAAACAGAAATATAGTGTTAGTGTTGAAATCTGAGTACTGTAACTCTGGACAGGTGTGTGTTTTGGACGACAGGTGGCGCCTGAACTCCATCAGATCCAGCTTTTGTCCTCTTCTGTGTGAAACGAGGTATTTGTAGAAGAAGAATGCATATATTTCTGGCTCATTTGAATGAAGGAAAATGTCACTTAGGATGTGATTCGCGGCGTTAAGGCTCTTGAGGTCAGAGGTGGCAGGAAGGCCTTCAACCTGAGGCCCTCCTCGACCTTCAGAGTTCAAAGTAAAATATGCTCCTGCGATGTTTTCTCCCAAACAGACAGAAGACGGAGGAGGACTTCTCAGCAAAGAGGTGAGGTAAAGGTCAAAGTGAAATATCACAGCTTGCCCGGGGCTCGGCCTCGTCTCTGATGCTGCGAGGGTAACGCCGAGGATCAATCGAGTGTTTCTGGGTAAATCCTCTGCTTTGACAGAGCTTCACTGTGAGGTAATGAGATTTTAATCTGACATGTACAACTGCTCCCTCCACGTTGACATTTAAAGGAGTCATTAAGGCTCGGCTTTGTGTCCGACTGTTCATTACAGCAGGTTCCTGCCCAGACATCCAACTCATCATTTTAGCCATATTTCACTTAAACAACCCACCAGCCATGAAATTTACTGGATAAATACATGTTTGAGATGTGAAAAAAATCCTTAAAATGCATATTGGGAGGAATATTAAATGGATGGAGTCCTAAAACATCTGACTACCTTCACTAAAAGATGATTAAACGACAACAAAAAGTAGAAATACTTTTAAAATTGCAATTTAATCAACAACCTCACGTTTTGTATTCCATATTAAACTAAAAATGTCAGGGAAAAAATGCAATAGTTAAAGTTAAATAGATGTTTTGGTGTTTTTTCCCTGAGAAAATAACTGAAGTCATGTTGGAGTTCAACTATAATTCCTGGAAATAAAGTATCACAATTTAAAGGAACTACACATCAAATTTAGTGTCATTGTGCAGTTTTTGCCTTTCAAATAAGGTTGACTTGAAACAAGGTGATTACGATGAAAGCTGCAGCATAAGCAACGGCAAATGCAAAAGGGATCAGTGATGACGCAAGATCTCAGGGAAGAAATTTGAATTTAATTATGTTTAAATTTTATTTTAAAAATGTTTCTTAAATCGTATGGAGTTATATCTACACCTGGAGGAACCTTCTGGAGCCACAATACCACCCTAGTTTTAAAACATTATCATTCAAACAATTCACTGGAAGCATTTTTGTCACCAAATTAGTTTTAAATAAATCTTAAATATATTCATATTTTTAAGTGAATGAAGACGTAGGCCTATGAGGTGGCCGTGGTCTGAATAGATGAAAAGTCTTGTTAGTAAGTTTTTTTTTAAGAGAGCAAAACAAACAGACTTGTGAATGGTCCCCATCAGTTGTGTTGTTGTCCTGTCATCATGTTGTTATTTCAAGACATTAAACCGTGAACATTAACTTACTTTATTTAATTTTCAAGGTTTTGTTTTATATTAAAATGTAAGATTTGGTTCAGGGTTTTACTGTAGCTCCTGTAAAACGGTGATTTTGGGGACATTTAGTTTTTGAAATTAAATCATCAGTTCTGTGTTTGATTCTTCTTTCTTCTGTATATTGTAGTAAAGAGCTCGTCTTTATAGAATGGTGTCACGTTGGGAGCTCAGGCTTTGGATTGATTCTGTAGTTTGCTCCAGAACATTTTCATAAAGTCCCGTTTTACTACACCTCACGCGAGACTCTTGGATCAGGGAGTAGTCAGATTCCAGCTCCGTTGCCCTGACAACAGTGACGTCACGGCGCTTCCTGTTCTCACTTTCAGTTTCACTTTGTCAGAAGTTGTGTCGCAGCTTCTTTTCTCCGTCTGAAGGTCAGTAAACGACACTTTAAACTCTTTTAAAATGTGTCTCCACAGCTTTAATACTCAGCTTCAGCAATTTAACGTAAGCTTAGTTCAGATTAACTTAAACAATGTCAGTAAGTTTACTAAAGGTCATTACAACACGATATTTTTTATTAGTCACCATCAAGCTAACTTTAGCTCACTTTGCTCAGTGACGACCAGCTAACTAGCATTATTCTGTTCACAGAGTTTAGCAGCTGTCTGACTGCTGTTAGCAGTTAGCTCGCTGCTAACGTTCACTTCAGCCACAAAGAAATCCTCCGATACGTTACTTTATGTTGACTTCAGGTTACATTAA